AATATCCTCCTGGTGAACTTCTGACGATGCAACATGGGCTGAAACTGTAACCGTGGAACCTTGTAGAAAATACAAAGTACCACGCATGACACCTTTCAAAATCAGATTTGAACCCTTCCAGACCCGCAAGACTCCATCTTTTCCCGACCAGCTGAATCCCTTGCTGTCCAAAAGACTGAGAGATATCAGATTTTTTGTCATCAATGGAACGTGCCTGACCTCGTTCAATGTGTAGAAGCTACCGTCATGTGTCCTTATCTTGATCAAGCCTGTCCCAACCACCTTGCAGACAGAACTGTTGGCTATCGAGATGCTACCTCCGTCTACCTGCTCATAAGTTGTGAACCACTCTCTCCTAGGACAGATGTGATAGGATGCCCCAGAATCGAGAACCCACACATCTGAATGATGAGTGTGCTCATCCGCAACTAGGGCAATGTCTTCTTCAGAATTGGTGTCTTCTTCAGCAACAGCAGCAGAAACTGATTGTTTTTTCGATTGCTTCTTCTTCTTTGGACAATCAAATTTCCAATGTCCCTTCTCCTTGCAGTAGTTACAAACATCATCCGGCTTCACACCCTTCAACATCGGCTTATTTTTCTTTCCGCCGTTTTTCCTTCCCTTTCCGCTACTGGTGAACAGACCGGAAGGCTGTATGTCCGTACTTGTGCCGTTAGCCTTATGCCGTAATTCCCTACTATGAAGGGCCGATCTGACTTCTTCCAGCGACACAGTATCTTTCCCAACAATGAACAATTGAACAAAATTCTCAAACGACATTGGGAGAGATACTAACAGAATCAGGGCAGCATCTTCATCATCGATCTTCACATCGATATTACGCAATTCTAATGACAAAGTATTCAATTGCTCTAAATGTTCCCTGAGTTGTGTACCTTCAGCCATTCGTAAACCGAATAGACGTTGTTTCAGAAGCAGCTTGTTGGTTAGAGATTTTGTCATGTACAAACTCTCCAGCTTCAACCATAGACCAGCAGCAGTCTCTTCATCCGAGACCTCCGTGATGACGTCATCCGCGAGACACAGCATGATCATCGAGTGCGCCTTTTCCTCCAGAATCGCCATCTCAGGAGTAACGAAGATGTTCCTGTCTTTCGGCAATGGCACCCAGAAGCCTTGCTATTTCAACAAATCCCGCATCTTGATCTGCCATAAACTGAAACTGTTCCTCCCTGTGAATTTGTCGATTTTCACGTTCAAAGCAGACATCTCGAAATTCTCCAAGAACACCGATTAACCGAGAGGCTCTGATACCAATTTGTTGTGCGGAATTCGAGATAATACGAGAAAATATAAATGCGAAAAACAAGACAACAAATTTACATGGTTCACCAATAAATTGGCTACGTCCACGGGAAGAGGGGGAGCAGTTTTATTATGGAGAGGAAAAAAACAGAATTACAGAATAGGGTTTGTCATAGCGTCTATATATAGTGCTAAAGCTATGCCCTAGCAGGCTTGGGCCCAACATACAGAATTGACAGATAATTAAGGGCCCAATTCAAGGCATTCAACAATATACAATCTAGTGGAGTTGATATCTTAAAAGATCACTAAATCATGATAAATTATCTATCAAGTCATTGAACTTTCTTTTCTATCAATAATATCACTCAACTTAAATTTTTTATCTTCAAAAATCACTCAACTACATTTACTAATAAAAAAATTAACATAATAAAATAAAATGTTTTTATGCATGCCGTGAGATTATGAACCCATAAATAAATAAAGTTACAAAATATACTTATTATTATATCCGACCCACACCCACCCACCCACAAAGTAATTAGAATCATCTAAAGACTAATTATTTCTAATTAAGAATTAAAATGTAGAACGTTGCTCTAGTCTACTTCACATGTTTCTACACGGCATAACTTAATATGTGACCCTTCTATTATTTCTCCAGACACATCCATCTCAGAGCTGTTTCATGTCATCTATTGATTTGCACACTCAATATTCGTATCAGGTAGATTTAGTCCTGACAGATTTATACCTTTGTGTATTTCGTTATTGGATATAATTCAAATGTTGAGAATTTAATGGATGAGATTACTTTATTAGGTAGGTTTGTGATTGATAGAACCGAGTTACATGTATAAATTGTGGTACTAGATATGATTGGAATATCTGAAAGTATTTCTGTAAATTATATAATGTGTGTCAAACTAAGAAAACGTTCACTTTTCACTTACAAGTAAAACCGAATATTTCTATCACTGAAATAAGCATAGTTCCACCATTCTTGGAATCGCTGAAGAAGGTAGGCAAACCAAAGAAATAGCGCAATGCGTGATTAAGTAGGAATATAGTAACTTTGGTTTTTGAATTTGTACAGTCGTAGGGGACTACATAAATTTAAATCTAAAATATTGGGAGTTCAAATGTTTATGCTGCACTTTTTGTTGGGAAAACGCAGACAAGCACAAAAATATATATAGTAAAAGTAATGGAAATAAAATGGGAAAATAACGACACCAAGAATTTTACGTGGAAACCCTTCTGAATAAGGGAAAAAACCACGGGCCAAGAGGAGCAATTGATATTACTATAGTAAGGAATTTTACACTGTGTAGTCACGAATACAACACTCAAAGTGACTACTACACACTCAAAAGGAACAACACTCTTTTGGTTTCCGTCTTACTAAAATATCGCTCACACTCTTTTTCTTCACAAACTATTTTCTTGTATAGTCTATGGAATACCTCACTTTGCTCTCAAAATGGTTTTTCTCTCTAACTTGGTGTGTTCTACAAATGAGCAAGAATGCTCTATTTATAGAAGGATAAAACCATGCTTATGTCACTAATGACATAGGTAAATATAGCAAAGTCAAAAATGGTTGCAAATCTTACCAATTTGCCAACTACCAAATCTTTTCTTTTCAACTCCAATTACTATTCCTTTTTAACAATTGTTTGTACCAATTGAATAGATAAAGTTGACTAAAACAATGGGATGGATTCAACAAATCTCCCCCTCCAGTCCCATTTACAGGAAGAAGGTATCTTCAACTTCTTTAGAGAGAGCTCATACCCACAAGTTCTTTGCATTACTCGAACTTGTCTCTCGGTATCATCTTGGTCAGCATATCTGCAGGATTTTCAGTTGTGTGAATCTTTTTGACGTGAAATGATTCATTCTCCACTTTCTCACGAATCCAATGATATCTGACGTTAATGTATTTTGTTCTTACATGGTACATGGAGTTCTTGCTCAAGTCTATTGCACTCTGGCTGTCACAATAGACAATATACTCCATCTGATTCAAACCAAGCTCTTGAAGAAATCTCTTTAGCCATATCATCTCCTTGCCGGCTTCAGTAGCCGCAATATACTCAGCTTCAGTTGTAGATAGTGCAACACACTTCTACAACTTTGACTGCCATGATATAGCTCCCCCCGAAAAAGTAAACAAATATCCAGTAGTGGATTTTCTGTTAT